CGGCCGGCCATGGTCAAACATGGCCAGTCCACTACAGGTCATGCTTGGAAACCCGAAGACAAACGTATTGATGTCAAGAAATCCGTATTCTGTTGAGTTTCCGTTTGGAGCAATCCCACACTATAGTATGAGCCCCGTAGTGGAAAGGGTGGCATGGCGGGACATACTCTTTGGAAATCTCTGCATGGACAACCTTTTCTGTCAAGCCTAGCATGGGCTACGAGTAGCATGCCATGTCTTTGTCTAATGACATTGGATCAAAAGACAGGGGCTTCAGCCGGTCCACAATCCTTTTGCCATTTGCCAAAGGCATTCACCACTTCTGACCTACAAGTCAGGCTCACAGAACAGTTCTTCGTCCTTAAACAGTGAAGAAGGGAGTTTGCTGGTGATAATCAACCATATTTTTGCGTCCTCTAAATGCATCCGGAGTTGGAAGGATTGGAAGCTGACAAAGCAGCAAACTCGCTTGTCCTGTGGCCGCGACTCGACGTCCTGCAGGAAAAGCCAAGGGCAGCTTCGTGCACTCCAGCTGAATGTTTCTGGTCGGAATCCCAAACACGAGAACAGTTGATCGAGAGGCCCACAGGAAGGTGCCTTCAAGTAAAGTAGGCACATGGCACAACATGGCACACCTCACACCTCCATCTACACCACTCCCAAACTGCATCCGACGAATGCTTCCAACACAACGCAATCTGTCGGTCTGGGTCGGTAGCTCGGTAGCCGCACCTGCACTCGGAGCTCAAAGGGCACCTCTCGGTCATACGCAACTCGATGACCTGAGGGAGGAAAAGTGACAAGGGGTCGACTCTGGGCTCCATAAGCCATAACCATCCGTAATCGAAATTGAGGGTGGCCAAGTAATGTCAAGTATCAAAACTCCGGTGACTCTGGTATCTGAAAGCACCAAATGTGACTATGTCAGGGAGGCATGTTTCAGCCGTGTAATTGTATCATCTTGTATCTGCCTCTCTTTGAAACTTTCTAATGGACCTCAGGGGATCAAGTGTCCCTCTATTTGAACAATGATCCCACGTCAACAAGCTTGGAAGCAGGATCCCTGGTTCTTTCTTGGACGGTGCTTCTAAGGCAAGCATTCCCAAGATTTTGCCATCCACGAAGTCCAGTAGAGACCTAGATCGGCTCCCGAAACACAAGGAACACACCATCTTGCAAGGAGGGGTCCATCTCCTCCAGGGAGAAATCCAACTCCAAGGCACCTTGGATGGTCCAGGTGAGAACAGCATGAAAAAGCGAGAACATGTACTAGTTCGATCAGGTTGATGTGTCACTAGATATCGATCGTAAACGAGTCACCACTGCCACCTTTTTGAGAAGAACAAAATTATGTACAACACTCACAAGCCGAGGGTTATTCAACTGCTTTGCAGGGCCTTCAGAAATCATTCTGAAAATCCCAAGTTCCAATGTCTAAGCATAATACAAACACAGGTGGTTTGTGGTTTATTATTACATATGTATATATATATAATTAGGTGGTTTATGATAGTTTCATCAGGTCTTGAAACTCGCGATATCAGGTTTCCATAGGTATCCCGACTCTCGTCTTGCATCGCCCTTCGGCCCGCAGAGGCCAACGAGCGGCGTGGACCTGTGGGTCGTTCCGAACGGACGTGGACCGTTCCGTTCTCGGGGAGTGGAGATGCTTCGAGCTTTGATCAATTCTTGTTTCTAATAGCTTCTTGCTACTAGTAGTAAGGCGGAGCCCCTAGTAGCATCCTTGCTCCTAGTAGCGATGCCCTTTGCTCCTAGTAGCTTCTTGTTCCTATGTGTAAGTATTTTGCCTTAAACAAGGATTCTCAGGAGTCTGCACATGTCTGTTTGTACATTGGTTCTGGGTTTCTCGGATTTCCGCACGTTGTATCTGAGGACTTGGTTCGACATGCTTTTTTGAAGATCCGTGCTCTGAAGGTAGGGATCAAATGGTATTCATATATACATATATGTATACATCACCGAGTCGAAACTACAGGAGATCCCATCAAAAATCGAAGTCTCGGGCTCAAATATACAATTGTGGGAATCTGCAGAATTCCAGTTGTCACGAAGGTTCAGTTTTTCACAACACGGCCCGCTCAAACACCTCTTGATTTCCACTAGATCGGTATGAAATGCTGATTTGTGGAGAAGCCACTCATACGGGCCTAGACCACGACCAGAGTCTGAGTGCCCCCTGCTGCCGCCACTGAGGGATCTCTCCTGCGAGAATGGCATGTGCACCGATTGGCACCTCGCCAGAGTACAGTCGGATCACCTGTTGGGTCCACTTCGCAAATTCTTCGACCACCTTCAGACACTTGCGTGGATGTGGGTCAGTTCAGCCCCTTAAGCACGGAAAACCAATTTGCAACATACTATGTAAAATTACTTACAGTAGGTTCACAGCATCTTTCAAACTGCAGATACAGGGACGTGGCAACATCTGGTAACAAGGTGGATTTAACAATTGAACTTCCACCGACTATTCTGCTGGCAGAAATCAGAGTAAACTTGTACAAGCTCTTAAGTGCTCATAGGAGCCCAGCCGACACCAAAGGGGCAATGTTTACACAAGCCACGTGGGGTTGTCATGAGCAACTCAAACCATTGGAACTTCATGGAACTTCCATGTAAAAAGCTCCAACCTCATGGTCATGTTCCATGTGAATGTGTTGTACGGCTCTGTTCACAGAATTCACACAAAGCAACATCCACTTAAATACTTCGTTCCATACGTCCGTGCGCAGCAGTCTGCGAACAACATCAAACGTACATCCGTCAGTTCCACTAAGCATCCCGCATAGCCACACAGTCATTGCTACTTACAACACGCCTATGATAAACCCATCGTCTTGCCACCAGCAATCCCCCGCACCCCAACCACCTTGCAATGGACATTCGTTTTGGAAGGTATATACAGGGCCGTTCAGGGCAGGAATTGGGACCCTGCCAAGAGTTTACCGCTTAGCGGGTTAGTGGTAAATGTACATTTGTATATGCAAAAAATTTTGTATATATTATATATCTGATATATAGAAACAAAGGGGCAAAGGAACTAAGAGCATACAATGTGCAATGTGCACATTACATTTAATTACACCAGGTGTGGACCGCTCACCCTTCGGAAAACAGCATCTCAGGATGACTTGACCACCAATTTGGCAAAGCGTCCCTTTTGTGACTCAACTCAAGGCGGAGCCAAACCCAACCACAAATCAAACAGCATCCCATCCAAATCATGAATGATCGTGCCTCTAGGGATGCACGAAAGGATGCCATCTCTCAATCAAATTATGGAGATCTTGAGATATGTTCGGGTCTGAAATCCTAAACAAAGTGGACTATCTGCACTTGTATTACGGAACTTCAGGAGATGTTGCCAAGCTTTGCAGGGGATTCCTTCATGTTTTGCAATTGTCACAGAAAACCTTGTAGCGCCCAAAAGTCATCTCCTAATGCCCTAGCACCATCCTAGTCCTAAATTATTGTTGTTCAGAATATTGATCAGGTGTCAGTCTTCAATAAGGCTCATCAACCTGTATAATTGAAGAGCGCTTCATGATTCTCGGCCCACTTTGCCTCAGACTCACACATAGGGAGTGCACCAATCAACCAGCCGGGTTGCCGGCAGGGAACATGGGTTTGGCCTCTTGAAAAGATTAGTGGGGCGTATGGGAGCTGAATTTCCACCATCGGGGTATCCATCAAATTGGTAGGCAAAGGTGATGGCTTTCCTAGTTGCATGCTCTGCGCCAGACTTCGAGCTTGCAAACCCAAGAGCCAGAAGGCTAAAGCATCTGCTAATCACGGATGTATGTTCGTGACAAATGCCACTGCGTAGCTCCAGCCACAAGGGCAAGTCTAGATAATACTTGTGACGGCCTGACAGAAACAAACGACAAAATTCTCAGAAAGCACCAAATTTCAAAGCTGCTCCTGTCACGCTTGGAAATGCTCTTAACTTGTTCTTTCCTAGATTCAACAAAAAGGAAAAATCACAAACTGGACCTGACTCTGCAGGTAACTTTACCTTTTGCCAGCCTCAACTTCCCCAAACTCCTCAAAACCTCAAGGAGGTCTGTGAAGGGTGCGAGTCTCGCGACCTTTTTGAGCTATCCTCAGCACACAATGGTCAGCTGGTCGTCAAGGGCCAAGACCTACAGGTTGCAGTGGAACAAAGTGTTGTTTCGCCAGGAGCTGCAAACAGCTGCTCTCTGGCTTTTGTGGGCCTAACCTTTCCGCAATGGCAGGCGCAAGTGCAAGTCACGGCATCAAGAATGCGACCTTTGTTCCTAATTTACAGGGTTCTCTGGTTTTGGTCAGTTCTGGCCCTTAATGCGGATTTCAATCAGTTGGCAGGTTGCACCTTGCTTACTCGCCGCTAGATTTTGGAAGATCTTTCTTCGATGAGCATGGGCAGGGAAATCAGGAATGATTCCCAATGACTCTTCTGTTCTGCCGTGGGCCTGACAAATTCACTGTACATGGTGGTGTAAAAAAAACACATCCAAAGCACGTGTATGTGGCAAACATCAAATGAGAAACAACATGGACCAACTGCAAATCCCAAAGTGCGACCAACCAGCCTCATGGCTCCAACAAACCCACTGATCTAAGCTTGCCCATTTGCGTACACATGACAGCTAGCCGCTATATGATTATTAAAAAAATATATTTGTATATTTATATTTAGAACTGGAAGCGCATCATATCCTCCTCATCTTCGGATCACTTTTTGCTCCACGCTTTGCCGAACGGGTCGGAAGGGGGGACGTCAAAATGCCCAACCTGGCGGACGATCCGGAAAGGCCCTGCAAGGGCATCCTCCGGAACCGTCCAACGGCGGAGCACGCATCTTGCGGGCCGCGCACAGGTCAAGGGACGTCTTGCTACTCGCACAATGGCAAGAGCAAGCTAAACATTTGCTTTGTATATCATACGTGTCTGTAAGGGACCCCAAACTGCCTAAAGAAAACACAGCAACTTCTTTCCAATTCGACCTGAGTGATCTTAGTCGGGAGTTTGGAGCTCCTTACTCTGAAGACCTGAGTGATCTCTACGACGCTTCGATGATGCCCACTTAGGACGACCGAAGGCTTCTGCAAAGAGGAAAACTGGGAAGCCTATCATTGTCAGAGCGCCCCCCCCACGGCTGTCAGCTTTCGTCAGCTCTCGGGTGGATGAAAGCCGCCATCCTAGACCTGACAGGGCCCATTCCACTTCGTTTGGCAGGCCATTTCACTCATTCTCGCTTCTCTTCGCTTCCCAGAAGGACTCGAAGCGACAAAATACTGAGCCCCACAAAGCCCTCTGACATGTTTGTTTCCTGGGCGATGCCCGAAGAAGTATGTAGTCAACAAAGAGACTTGGGACACATGCGCAAACATACGACAACATGGTAAGTTTCAGCATGCCTGTTCGACTACCTGCTGAACCATTCGTGCGTCACCAGTTCTTGGCAGGGGTTCTTTGGATGGACAGGAAACCGAGGCCAAGGGACGGTCCCTGAAATCTGCTTCTCAGTCTCCGCAGAGGCCTCGCCCTGCTTCTGAGTCACAGTAGTCAGGTACCTCGGAACGTGCGAACGAAAAAGCTCTCTATTGGAGGAAAAAGGAGACTGAGGCTGTCAGGCTGTGTCGGAGCACCCCACCAGGTGTGCGAGCCCAAGAACCCATTACTGGATCCATTATTTGTTCGAGCTCCTCCAAATCCGCTCAACCTGGTTCACCCCAAAACTGACCAATTGGACACCTGAGGGATCAGCATTTACTGCCATATCTAAATGAGTTTTATGATGCTGAAGTAACAAGGGTTCCAGGTCCTTCCCACAGGCAGGTAAAAGTGCTTGCGACCAGCACATATGTTTTCTCTTGAAGCAAGAAGTCCACACCTACGGGCCTTGGATGCAGCCAACCATATCCTGTGCTTCTGAGCTGCTCCTCCGCTCATAACAAACTCACCCACGTGGTGAGAGGAGCTTTGGGGAACGGTGCTGAGACCCCTGAAACCTGCCCCATTTCACAACTTCCCTTTTGGCGAGGTCTGCGCGGCTTAGAATGAATGCATTGTAACTATATAGTGGTTTATTGCTGTGAATGCTTCCTCAGATAGTGACAACCGGCACCAAAGGTCCGTTTTCAAATTCCATCCAATCTGACATGAAATTGCAAGAATCCCCAAGTGGTAGGGCTTTTCATCGGCAACCTGGCAATCCCTTACCAGCTGATCTACAGTATCTTCTGTATATTTTGAGGATGGTAAATTGCATTGGCAGTTACATGCGCCAATGGCTACTGCCCTTGGCACCTTGGCCGGGCCACCTTTACTCCTTCTCGCTGGGTGGAGGTGTTCTCGATTCTACATACCTCATCAGGGGACCTTTCGTAAAAATCGTAGTCATAGAAGTTGGCGCGATCTGTTTGCATCTAAGATTGCTTGGAGGCAGCTGGGACCCGGAACAAAGCAAGACCTCCAAAACATCCCACCATTCCCTTCAATTGTCGAAGCCCAAACGAACACACCAAAGGCAAATTTGGCTTCTCAAAGAAACGGTGCATTTCCCAATCTTTTGTCTCCAAGGAGCAAACGGAAATTTGAGAGCAGCAAACCCTAAACCCTAAATTCTAAACCCCTCATCCATTCAAAAATCCTCATCCATTCTTGGAGGACAAGCAAAATCCCTCCAGCAACAGGTCATATAGTCGTGCTTTCAGTAGTAGTTTTGTGGTGGTGTAGCACCCAAAGACGCATCCCAAAAGGGACAAACCAAAGGGTTGGCCGACACACGCTGCACCGCTACACTCTGTTGCACTTGTTCGATGACTCAAATTCCTGAATGCAGCTTGTTCAGTACCCTTCATTCTGCGCCACTGCAACATCAGTCGAGGTGGGCAACTCAATCACTCGGCGGTCTGTTTTTATTCTAACTCTGTCAGAAACTGAACTGACTTGAGGGGACCTGTTGCCTGCCGGAATTTTACTACATTGTCCATTCCACATATTATTCAACACACATATCATTAAACATCCATTCTTCCCATCTCCTTCAAATTCACCACAAGACCTAGATTTAGGAGAATTTCATCTGGTACACTGGGTGCAGGCGTTTATGAGCAAAAACATGTCCAAGAGTCGTTGAGACTTGAGGGAAAGGCATTTGAGAGATGGTCACTGCTTGTTGCTGCAAACTCATCATCATGATCTCTTCACAAACTATAGACTATAGACTATAGCCCTTCACAAAAGTTAAATAAACCAAAATGCTAAACCTTGTTGCTTTCCTCTCCAGCCCCCTTTTGCCCTTACTCACCTTACTCCTCCACCCCCACATACCCCCACCGTCTCCTGCCAAGGGGCACCACTACTCGGTCAGTGACCAGCCATGTGATGGCGATCAGTAGCGCAGCGGCCGCCATGCCGAAGTCGGGCTCCCAGCTGTGCCAAACGCCCGTCACAATCTTCCTCAGGTGTTGAGAGCTCTTTTTCATCCGCAAAAGCAGTTTGTCAACGGTCTTTGATACTGCGTTTCAGAATACAAAGGATAACTTTTATGTACTAGAAAGTTTCCCGTTCCTAGGTATGGTGCTGGAAAAGCTTCTCGGATAAAATCAAGCTGAAGTTTTGCAGTTGGAGACATTCAGGTACTATTGGTAGAACCATAGACCTCCAAATAATCTGAAGCTGAAAACAAATCATTCTACTAAGTTGACATAGGTAAATCAAGCACTTATCTGGGAATCGAGTCCAGTTACCACGAGGATGAGCTTCGAAGATTGGTAGAGTTAACTTTTCAGCGTAATAAACATTGTTTTAAGGTCAACGGCTCAACAACGTACACCAAAGAACTCACACCGACTCTGGCTTTGACCGTCTTCCGATTCGAAAACGCACTCCCAAGCTGCGGGATGAGTGCGGCCAGCGCTGGGCCTGGGCAAAGGCCGCAAAGACCCCAGCCCAGCCCGAAGAAGCTGGCACCTTGGTAGGTCCATACGATCACGAGCCAAGGCCCTAGATGTTGGTTCCCTTGTTCCTTGTGCTGGAGCAGAACGGTGAGTTTTCTTCCTAGCCAGTATCACTGCGGATTGATTGTTGCTTTGTGGTCCGTCCAAGACATTTGGCACAACCAGAAGGCTTTTGCGGGAAAGTCGGGCCTGTTGGGCATCTATCATTTTTGGGTTTAGTAGAAAAATCCCTACTGGCAAGGGGAGGAGAAGCAAAGAAGCACTGAGGAACAAACAATCAACGAAGTGATTGTCAGAAGCAATACAAGCAGGAAGATACAAGTAAGACATGCTAAGACAGCAAAAAGCAAAACACAAACAAGTTCCAACAGCAACCCAAGGCGAAGGCAACTAACATCCAAACGATGTGACTCAGCTGAGGTCCTCTTCACCCTGATTTAACTCTTTTTCTCTCTGAAAGCGAAATAGAACCCAACACTATGCATATCACTATGAATTTCCCACACTAGAAATGTACTTAAATCAATCACACCCGATTCAATTAGAAACTCCAAACTCCGTTTGCACACTATATCTATGCAATCCACAGAATGAGTCTTTGGCTCCACCTGAACAGAAACCTTTGCCACTCAGCCGTTGGAAAGCTTGAAGATTGAAGTTGACAGCAAATCTGTGTTTACTACCATTGTATACTATTGTTGCAATAAGAACTGACTGGCTGGGGCAACAGTTTTGCACCACAACTACCAAACGACAAGGAAGGTGTCCAATGTGTCTCCAGCTCTCCGAATACATCCGCGAATCTCACGCGGTCCCCCACACAGATCATCAGGACCAGGAGGCCGATCACCAGGGGCACATAGTTCCCCTTCTTCGGCGGGTTCTCGAACTTGCAGCCCTCAATCAAGGGCTTCGTGACCTCGTGAAGAACGAGATCAGAGCATTTAAACCTCATGGGGTTCCGAACCGCTTCTTGGACTGTCAATCTATTTATATCTCCTAGTTATCCATATCCGGTAAACCTACTGTTTGCTTTGCAACCGCACGAATGTTCGGCCCTCTACTTTAGCTACCAAATCCTCCGAACCAAAACTCGCCGATCTGGTCATTCTGCAACCACACACTCCGACCAATAGCATTCCCAACCCCGACCCCCTTCCATAAATCCAAGCAAAACGATATGATATGTTGCACCCTCCCCCCAAAGATGGACAAAGATAAACATCGTATTGACAGAGTGTTGACATGATGAGAACCGTGAGCCAACGCTGAGCTTCAATGAGCCAACGCTGAGTGCGGCCCCGCCTTGCCCAGTTGCTCGGCGAGGATGAACGCAGGACCACTGACCTCAGCCGTGAATCCGAGGGAACCGAACCGTGCGGGCTAGCCTGAGTTGCATATCTCCTGATCTTCTCACCGACACCCAAAAGCGGGCAACGGTTGACTGACCCGTAGACAAACTTTTGTACCCGGTATGGACTTCGAAGTTCATGACAGCATGAGGCTACCCAGCCATCCTCACTCATCCAAGCCACGCAAATGCCACAGCCCATGACGAAGGCCAAGGAAGGATCCCAGTAGCCTCCGAAGTCCAAGAAGTTCATCACCTGGATCACAAGGCAAGTCACGCACATGCCATCTACGACCCCCCTGTGAGTGTGGCAATCAGCGAAAGGAATGCTACTCGACTCCACTAGTACTTCACTCCCAAATGCGCCAGAACCATCCAAAAGAAACCTGCCGAATCGAGAACACAGTTTGACATGTTTGAGAACTCGTTGAGAGGCTGCCCTCGTTTGAGAACTCGTTTGCCAAGCGTTGCGAACGCTTCGGCTCACGGCGCCTTGCTGGGGTTGGTCATGCCAGACACGCCCAAACCGAAGGCGAAAATGAGGCCAGAGGAGAAGGGCGAGAGGTATCTGTGCGGCAAGATGTCTATATTAACAGCAGGAAGTGGGGAACATAGACATACATAGACACATGCAAGTACTACATTTTGTACGCATATTCACTTTAGCATCTTCAGATTCTTGTGAGTGCCTTGTTCCCTTTCCTTTGGTCGGGCAAAAAAGGAGTCCACCTGCTATCTTAGGGCCATTTATTTGCTGTATATATTTCAGAAAAGGCTTGGAATCTGTGAAGCCAGACGCCTCACATCTCCTCCCAACGAAGTTTTGCTTTGCAGTCTGCATTTTAGTTTGACCAAGCAAGGGCTCAATTCGGCCTCCAGCTTCTCCATTGTGCACAGCCAAAAAGATTCACAATCTGTTAAACCTCTCTCTTCACTCATTTCTGTCGCCTTTTCCCGTCCCACTAATCTGCAACTCTGGGCAGCGGACATTCTGTAGCGGTCTGGCACGAGCACGCAAAGGGCGATCAAGACCAGGCTGCCCAAGAACGTTGCCAAAGGATATTCCCACCTGCACACATTCGCTGCGCGATCTGTGTATCTTACAGAACATTGCAGGATACCCGATTCAGCAAAGGGAACGGGGGAAGTTGCGCACAGGGGACAAACTTAATCTTTCTGATCCACCTTCGAGGATCTGACATTCGGAAATGCAGTCTTTGATTGCTGTGGAAAGAGTCTTGATCATAGTAAAACAATTGAATTATTGCCGTCCTTTCCCCCAGTTGTTGCCTAGAACCCTCTTTCAAATGTGAACTGAACCTTGCTTGGCTCCCATGGTATGTTCTACCTGATCACACAGGCGGCTCCAAGATATTCTCAGTACCTTATGGTACTGTGGAAAGCCTTTGTCAATGCGCAAACTGCAAATTACCATGATAAACATCGATCGATATATATATAATATATATATAATATATATATATATAACTGTATCACATATACTCTTACACTTGCATACACATGATGTCATCTTGACTAATTACCATAGAATGCTCATCGAACCAGGTCTGCCATTGAAGAAACATCGTAGGGTTGCTGACCCAAGTCTGGTGAGTTCGGTGGGTCCAAGGATTCTTTATCCTTCTATTTCGACAACTTGACACGTTGTGATCTATCGTCGCTTTTTACACAACAACCCTTTTTGCAGCGAACTGGTCTTCCAAGATCTTCTTTTCTTTGTCCCTAATACAGTGCCCATATCAGAACCTGTGAACAGCAGTGAGCTAAACAGCCTAAAAGGAGGCGAAGCGAAGCGTACACTGTTTTCCAACCTGAAGCCAAAAGGTCAAGAGCCCTAAAGCCGTGAAAGCCAGTCGGAAGGGCATGTGCACAGTTCCGCAGAATCATATGTGTTCATCTCAAGCAGCCATGTGCCAACAACCTACTTCGCCTTTGGCCTTCGCCCAAACTTCAAACACCCTGCCTGGGTGGCCACTGCACCTCAGCAATCTGCGGGCTGTACCTGGGTGCAAGCTTGAACGTGATCCCTTTACAGGGAGTTTCCACATCATTGAGGTTCGTAGAATTGTCTAAATTTGTTGAAGAGGCCAAGCACCCACAAAGAAAACCGGTCTTTCCTAGCTTTGAGCAATACTCCTTGTATGCGTGCTCTTCCTCCTGTCAGAGAGGTGGACAAATTGGTTTCGTTTATTGCAAAATCCTGAAGCTTTGTCAAAGGAAAAGGGTGACACCCAACTTCATCGTCTGCATGATATTCCAAATGAAAACTGACATCCCTTGTACTATAGCTAGAGCGTGTTGTCACATTTATGAGAAACCGCACAAGCTAGAGTGCATTGTCAGGCAAATTTGAAATGTACTGTCGCAGGCAAACGGAGTGTACGACGACTGATTGGTGTAGGACTTTGTCTCTGACCCCCCAAAAACGAGGACAACATCTGGTAGAGGTATGGTGGGCTACCAGCGCAACGTCTGCTGACCTCTGCTCGTTTGTTCTTTCTTAATCTTTGCCAAGGATTCGTTCACTTTACCCTCACTAAGGGACAATCCTGGACATCTTTTGTTCAACCCGCTCAACCTCCGTAGCTCGCGAATTCAATCCACAAGAAGCAAAGTCATCAAACACTCGGGTCCACATGCTGTCAAAGCGCTGAGTCTACAGGAGGTACTGGCATGCGGCATGTGCAAGCACTTGTTCAATTGCTCTTCTGACCGGCAAACAACAGGGTGGGATTCCGCAACTATCCACAAGCTACCTTGGACCCTGTAAAAGCTTACACTTGCAGCCACTGACCTAGAAATAGAAAATTTCATTGAACAAAGAACAAAGGTCTTTCGGTACGAATGTTCCCTTGCAACCATTCAAAGCCCTGGTGCTTGCAGTACCAACAATTGTAGTAGTGGTGGTGGCTGCTGCGGTGTACGTGGCGATGGCACTACAGTCTTAAAGTGGACAAAGCGAAAGCAAATAACTAGACATCAAATAGTGAAAAGCGACAGGGGAGGTGAACGGAGAAATCCTACACCCCCTGGACCTTCTTGTTGATTTCCCCGTACAACATGTTTTTGTGGGTTGCACCGAGCTGCTCGCCGTCGGACTTCAAGGCATGTCGAGTGATGGCCACTGTGGCAGCAGCCACTGCCATGAAGGTGGGCACAGAGATCCTTGAGACCAGCGTGTGCAGCCCGTGCCCTGAACTTGTTCAAAAGCTTTATCTGCAGCAAAACCAATTTTATCACACACTTCGATCCATGCTCGCAAGAGATCTATCAGTTTGGAAGTTCCAGCGTTACTGCAATTAGACCTTGAATGCAATTAAACCTTGACTTGGCTCAACGGTATGAAGTGCCGGGTCGGCAAGAACAGAATGTTTCAACAAAGTGCATTAGCCCTTTAGTGAAAAGTAAGGGGGGTGAACAGCTTGGACAACAGTTCAAACAGTTCAAAAATGCAGGGTAAGTTTACACCCAGGAGGGGGGGTGTCTCCGTTGGCCGGAGACCTTCGACCTGGCTCCGGCCCCCTGCAGTTCTGTACATTAAAAATGTCTGGTGGTGTCAGAGGTCCTCTTGAACAGGACGTGACACACACACACACCATCTTGGTATTGAACTCTATAGCTGGAGGATAGACATACAATCACCAATCTCTACACTACTCCACTCACCACCCTCTTCGCTCACTCCCCTGCCAAGGCACCAACTTCTCAACGAGAAGCGTGGCAGTCCGCAAATGCCATGACCACTGGTGCAACCCTTCCCAATGCGTGTGCCGATGCCCACAGAGATGCCTTGCAGGAGCGAGATGCAGTGAGCTAACTGACCTCAGGTCTGACATCCCCCACGCCTGCCAGCAAATAGCGAGCAGCATGCAAAGGCGGGGCGGGTGGGTAGGAGAACTCCCAATTCGCCAAGTTCACCAGGCCACCCAGCAGCAAGCCTCCCATCGCTCGGCTGATCGGTGATTTAGCAACCCCAATCACTGATCACCAGCAATCACCCCAAAATAACAGTCACCAGTCTACATTTGTTTAACCAATTTCGTAAATTACATCTCATTTATATACACCTCTGGAATGCCATGAGAATGTTCGCCTTCCTTCGGCACGTGACGTATCAAACCTCTGTAGGAAGTGCTAAACACCATCATTCGCTTGGACATCCTCTGTGGGGTGAGCAAAGCTGGTTGTTGTTTAATATCATTGTCAAGGATGGGCGCAGGTGGCCATGCCAAACCTATAGGATGACTGACAAAACTTACACTTCTTCCAGATGCCCTGAACACATCATGTGCATCTCCAAGGTAACGCTCGCAAAATTAATTTTGGGGCCAGTTCTTGACAACTGCCATTCAGTCGATTTTCCACGTTACTAGTAGATCACCAAGAACGAGACTTTAGGTTGGTACTTTGGCAGTATGAACTAAACAAAAGGGCTGTATATAACAAACACTACCTTTCCCCCCAAGGAAGATCGGTAGAGCGCACAATAAGCTGCTTCCCTGTTCTTTTTCGGTGGTTGACGCTTCACATCAGCTTCGCTCCGAAGTAAGCTCGATCCATTTTGGGCACTGGTGGTCGCTGGCTAAAACCTTCCCTCCTGGTACTGTGACCAAAGAATGACAAGAGTCACTCAGCAAATACTGCTCCAATCACTGGGTCACAACGGGAATCTCAACGGGGGGGCCATGGAAAACATTTTTTTGACTCTTTTGGAATTGGCTGAGTGCTGCTGAGTGTTGCTGAGTGTTCCTAAGTCTTGCCCAGTGCCAACTGACCCAAATCAATGGGGAGGGGGTTGAGTGTTATTGAATCTTACTGAGCGATACTGAGTCTTGCTGAGTGTTGCTGGTCTGAGTATGGAACGTTTCTTGCAAAGAAATTTGCTTCTATTCACCAGGCTTAATAAGTAGTTGTCACAAAGGATGTTGATACCAAAATGGCTCTGAGTGAGCATTGCTGAGTTTGACTTGCTCTCAATGCTGGTTTGAGTTTATGAGCGTTGCCAGGCCCCAGCAAGGACTACTAGTTCTCAGTTGGTTTTAGTAGGCCCTAGTAAGCAGTAAGCCTTAGAGGCCTTATAGAGAGCGTACAAAAGCGTCACATTCTAGCTCTCAAATGTCCATTTTCCTGGTCACACGTTCCCACCCCCCTTATCGCTGTGTGATTCATCTAAAATCCAATAGTACTATGGCACTGTCTCACCAAAACCTTTGGGCCGGCAAATTCGTTCTCGTTTCACCGGAGTCGTGGTTTTCGTGGCCATATATGGAACATCCGCTCAACACGAGTGCTTTTTCTGATCGGCCCCACCGGGAAACCAGCGGCGAACAGCGGCCTGTCAAGAAGAAGAGTTTCCAAAGCTGTCCATCCTTCACCGAAGGAGGACGCTGGACCCGGCCAATTGAGGAGGATGGTTTGACCCTCAAGTGTCCAGCTCCCCCCCATGCAAGAGACTCCTCGATACTTTGACAGGTCAAATGAAAACACACCTCAACAAGATAACTGTGGTAATCAATGGAAGCAGTGGAAAGGCCAAAACTCGGATACTGTGGTATTCGGATGGAACTGGGGTTTCTGTGTCGTCGTCTGCCGGTGACAACACGGCCCACTTTTGGACCGAGCTCGAGACGTCGAGAGAAACAAAGCTTCTGTTCCTACTAGCTTATTGTTTCAAATAGCTTCTTGTTACTACTAGTAAGGCACCTGTTACTACTAGCGAGGCACTTGTTACTAGTTGCAAATTGTCACGAACAACATCTCCTCATCCTTTCCACTCTTTCACCTCTTATCTTAAACCCGGAAATCTCCTTCATCGGTTCGCACTGGCCGACACCCCGCAGAAATGGACCCATGATGCCTGGGCCCGGCTTGCGCTGCTAGCTTAGCTCAAACGAAGGACACGGCAAACATCGTGCTCTAAGAAGGACCTGCGGTTTCCCGTTTCCCGCTTCATTTTAGGAACTACTGTTGGGCGCATCCACTGGCTTGTCTGGGCCAACTGTGACTGGCTGACACCAAAACGAACCAGCTCCAACAACAAAAGGCAAACAAAGTAACAAAGGCTTGAGCCAAAAGAACACCTCGTACATTTCTCAATGAATGAAAAACCCTTAACAACGAACATTACCCCAGAATTTGGGCCTTGACACTTGGGGCAAATCGATCCTATCAAACCGAGCAAACAATGATAGCACTTCCAGGGTGCCGCTGATGCCAGTGATGCGGCCGTCCACGAGGTAGGCCAAGGACGCCGAGGCGCCGATCATCAAACCGCCCAGAGAGCTCTCCAAAGGAGTGAACCTTAGGGCTTGGAACGTCCAAAACGGTCGACTTTGGGTCCAAGTGACCTATCGGTGACTGGGTGCCGGTGGATATAGAATGCGCAAGTTTGCAGAAACACGAAAGCAATCTTGCGGGTCCTGGCCAATTGCCCAACGAGAGGTCCCTGCCCTCACAGACCCCCGATTTTGAAGCCAGGCACATGGTAGCCCCGAATGGCAAAGACATTGCTTGCGAGTCGTGCCGCGGGGGGGCTTGAAACTGGCTGCGGAGGACGCTTGGGATGAAAGTCTGTGTGGGAAGCATTCTACAGCATTCTACAACTTCCTGGTTGAGTTCCTTGTGGGAAGCCAATGCAAATCAAAGAACCCAGAATGACACCTGCAAATAGAACGATAAAGCATGTATATAATATATGTAATCACCATGCAAAACGAAGCATTGCGCTGGCACGGGTTTTGTGACACACTTTCCTGAGCGGGTCGGAAGTGCAGGGTAAAACTATGCCCGATCGATTCGAGACAAGGCCTTATCGATGCTGTTTCAGAACAACCAAACAAACATCAAACACCTACAAGTACAGTAATATGATTGTTTTAAGCTGTTTTAAGAGCACTTGCGTCTGAGAAGCATCGGCATTGACCCCTCAAACACGGTTTGACGGAGCACAACCCGTCTATGGTCTAGTGGAAGAACCTGGTCAATCGAAGAACTTTGTTTGTCTGTGTCAGGTGTAATTGTATAACTTGAAAAACCAGTTCTAGTCTAAACTTTGCGAATCCAGTACTCTGACAAAAATGCGTTTTGGTGCTGAGGCCTCAAGCAGCCTTTTGTTCATCGGAAGGGCAGCATGAACGTGGTGTCAATTGGGCCTTGATTCATGAAGATGTCCTTGTGGGGAAATGTGAAATCATGATTTGAGGATGGCTTCTGAGGGGCCAAGCCTACCAAGAGGGTCCACGTTTTTAGTTTTCGGCGTTTTCGCCACACATAAGTAGGTTTAAAGCGCAAAAAAAAAGTTCCACGGAAATACACTTCTTTCAATTGGACTTTTTTGACACACAAGTGTCCCACTGCTTTCAGCATTATTGAACCACCTTTAACCTTTATGGTTCATAAAACGAAGATCAAGATGAAGCTGATGAAATAACAAAAGACAATTACATTCAAACACGTACACTTTCCCTACGAAATGATTCTGAATGCACATGTTCAGGAAGCGAAGACAAATATGAAGGGCTTGAAATGAAGATGAAGATGAACGCTGATGATTCAACCGAACGTCATTGCCCCGACACAACCCCACCCAACCCTACCCCCCTGTAATTGTGTGGTCACATAAAAAAGCGTTACGTCAGTAGAAGGCCCAAAATCGCCCAACACCGTGGACACCATGACCAGCACGAAGACCCTGTGCTCAACATGACAACCAAAGTGGGTTGGACATCTCCGAGTCTTGGTCTTTGCGTCTCGAATCCCATGGCCATCGCATCTTGCGATGCCATTGGCATAAGACAGGCATGCTGCTTGCACAAAGGCAGGAGCAGTTTCAGAAGCATAGGTCTCCACAAGGGGAATCATTTAGTTCCCAAGACAGTTTTCTGTACAATTGCAGAGAACTATGAGAAAACCAGATATGCCTCAAAGACAAGGGCCACACCCCTGGGCTTTGCAGATTTCTTCGAATCACACAGTGGTCCTATGAGCAACTATCTTTGAAGTCTCTGAGGCATTTCCCTGGCCGCCGTTGCCCAACATCGCGCCTCACATGTGGCAGACCACGCCTTTGAAAAAAAAAAGTGAGGCACCACGGAGTCCTGAAGTCCTCGCACAGAGTGCGGAGGAAGGCCTTTAGAGTCTAACTTAGTTATCCGAATCCCAACTTTCCACAGATTCGGTGTTGAATGCCCCACTTGAAAGTTCTTGTGACATTCTTAAAGAAACGAGTTGAATGAAAGCCAGGTTTCCTGTATTCTGTGCAGGATTTCTGCCCATCGAAAGTGGTCTTGGAAACCCAAGGGTTCTTGCAGCTTGTGTTGGTGCAATCTATTGCATGGAAATTCGTCCATCGCTGATGATACTATTGTCGATGACAAACCTCCACGTGATAGAGAGGGTCATCCAAGTTGCCAACATTTGCTTGGTTTGCAGCTCTACGAGGCTCTACACTGGGGATGAGATGTCCGTTGTTTTGACCAAATCACATCCAAAATCTCGCAGGATAAGCACAGTTTATGCATGATGCAGTTTGTCAACATTTGCGCGTGGTGTAGAACAAATCACACGGGAATCCTTTACAGTGCAGCTGTGACACCTCACGGACCTGCTTTCTCGGTGCTTGCAGGGGTCACCGGGCTGCTGGTGACGCGGGACCCGAAGTGCCTTGGGCATTGCGAGACTCCAGGTCCAAAAATAACCATCGAAGCACGAATGACATAAAACAAGTCACCAAAGCTATCCAAATAGTATCCGAGAGCTATCCTACTATCCGAAGCTTGCAATAAGAGTAACATAGAGTAACACTTGATCCTACCAGCAAGATTTCATGGTGCAACCAGGGTACAAGATCAGCCGGTCGGTGGTAAGCCACGCAATGCAAATGACCAAGGCAGCAGCGGCGACTCCGAAATCTGGCTGCCAAGTACGCCAAATGCCAGTGACGATCTTCCTTAAGGTGAAGAAAAGGACAAGCGGGACGGGGTTGAACCCGTCCTGAATTTACTGCAACCATTGATTTGTGCCCGTGCTCGTAGTACTTTACACCTGAGCCTGATGTTCTATTATATAGGTCTCCATGGAAGTGCGATCAGTATTCAAAAACAACAATTTCTGTGCGAAGAAACTGACAATGCCACACGTGTCAATTCAGAGGAGCCCCCCAACATGGATCGGTGAAACAATCAAACATGTCACACGTTCTTCTTCTATACATGACTGCATCTGCCCTTTTCCGGCTTTGACACAAAGGCTTTGTGACATAACAATGCCTGGTTGCGGGACCAGCGCCACCAGCGCAGGACCAGGGCAAAGTCCGCAAAGGCCCCACCCAAGGCCAAAAAGGCTGGCACCTTGGCATTGTAAGGAGTTATTGTTTACGTTTTATGCGAATTCGGATTTATTGGTGAGTTTCTGTCTTTGATCTCCTCTCTAAGAATGCACCCGCTGAGTTTAATCCGTATCATCCTTTATGATGGATGAGGACCTTGGTCATGGATAAGACCATCTCGCCCCCAGTCAAGATGCAAAGGAACCCAAACATAGTCCCAAGGCCCCTGGGCCCAACTTGTCTTCCATGTGAGGCGACCTCTGTTTTTTGGGGATGATTGGGGATGATGGAACTTGACTTAGTTCAAAGGACAAATGGCCCAGGTAAAGTGTTGGCCTGGACTTGTTGATCTGTGGCCATATATCGGGAAATTGGTTCAGTGTCAGTGTGATGCCAGCTTTGCAAACAATACTTTGTCCCAATGTTTGTCCAGGAACCAATCACCAGGGGCACATAGTTCCCCTTTTTCGGCGGGTTCTCGAACTTGCAGCCCTCAATCAAGGGCGTCGAGACCTCTCACAGCGAGAGAAGAACGAGGGAAGAACGGAGGCAGGAAAAAACTGCTGTTCTTCAGCCGCCTGTGTCAGTGTCATTGCTTATCGCAGGGAGGTGACTCCAGTTTCCTTGCCTATGTGCCATCAGTTCCAAAATCTTTGGACCAACTGACCAAGTGAGTAGGGGTCAACACATCGAATGTCGTGTAAGTGAGCTTCGGGCATCATCTCATCAGTTGGTTTTCTTTTTCAATAGGTTTTCGTTTTGCTCTAATCTTTCCTAGCTAAATCAAGTGAAAATTCCCACGTGACTGCTATGTTATTTTTTGCTTGGGAACCACTCTGCCAACCGCTCCTCTTTTGTGCATCTTGTGGGATCCTAGTTTGCGTGCTCATGCCAATCTTTAACAACCATCTGTTTGCATGATGCATAGGGTAGCAGTAGCAGTAGCAGCAGGAGGAGGAGGAGGTGGAGGAGGAAGAGGAGGAGGAGCAGGAGCAGGAGGAGGAGGAGGAGGAGGAGAAAGAGCAGGAGGAGGAAGAGCAGGAGGAGGAAGAGCAGGAGGAGGAAGAGCAGGAGGAGGAAGAGCAGGAGGAGGAAGAGCAGGAGGAGGAAGAGCAGGAGGAGGAAGAGCGAGGGGAGGAGGAGGAGGAGGAGGAGGGGGAGGAGGAGGAGGTGCGGGAGGAGGAAGAGCAGCAGCAGCAGGAGGAGGAGGAGCAGGAGGAGGAGTAGTAGTCGCCGTCGTCGTCGTCGTCGTCGTAGTCGCAGTGGTAGTGGCAGTGGCGGCGGTGGTGGTACACTAGATCAAGAAACAAACCTGAAAAAAACACTTAAAACACACTTGGAAAAACAATTAGTTGCTCCGATTCTTATAAACTACTTGTCATTGTTCCCTGTCCCTTGACTGTTTGGGATTTCGGGATTGAACTTTGAATCACCATTGATTTGAGATTCTCCTGGTTCACGACACAAAATGATCCATCCCAATGCTCCTCAAGCCTCCTCACTCAGACCCCCTCAGCTCGGCCTTTCCCAGCTGCTCGGCCAAAATGAAAGCAGGTCCACTGACCTCAAGTTGCTCAAGCTTGCAGCCCAAAACCAAACACACCTCAGACTTTGGGCATTGCTTCATTTATGCAACTTGCAACTTACTTCCGGGAGATTGGGACCAATGTGCCAATGGGGCTCAAAACGTAAAAGGTCTCCGTGACCTCACATGGCGATCAAACACCAATGCCTGGAGGAAAGTCCCGTTGCATGCTGTTCACCTTCCCATGCAAGGCACAAACATGCACAATCACTTGGCACGAGGACAACCGCACAGAAACAAAGAAGCGAGGGAAAGAGTCTGGGCGTTCATGGAAGAGAAAGAAAATCCCTTTCACCAAGCGGCGCAAATGCCACAACCCATGACGAAGGCCAACGAAGGATCCCAGTAGCCTCCGAAGTCCAAGAAGTTCAACACCTGGTCCATGGGTTCCATGAAGACCCTTCACGAATCTATCTCACCTCTGGTGGCACTCAGAAGCTACTAGTAACAAGTGCATCGCTTCTAGTAACAAGTGCCTTACTAGTAGTAACAAGAACGCTACTAGTAACAAGTGCATCGATGTCTCCAGATGTCCTCTGTCCAATGGGCTGCTCTGCGCTGGTGCCTTGCTGGGGTTGGTCATGCCAGAGGCGCCCAGGCCGAAGGCGAAGATGAGGCCCGAGGACAGCGGTGACACAAACCTCGGCCCGTTGAAGTTTGGGCTCGTTGGGTGGGAACGTTGATATTCAATAACTTTGCTGCGAGCATGGAAAGAAGTTTTTG